ACTGGCAAAAGTAGGAGCCGTCAGCATTCACACACTCATGTTCGCATCCGTGGTTTTCTGAGGCACAGTAGTCCACAGCTGTAAAGATTAAAACAGAGTTTAAGGGCCAGCTCTCAGTTGATTAAGAGCGTGAGCTCTGAGCAACAGGGTCGCCTGCTCGATTCCCACATGGCCTGTGAGCTGCACCTGAGCTGAGCTGCCGCTGAGATGGTGAGCGCACGTGCTCTTAGCATCAAGGCTGCTGGTTTGACTCCTGCATGGGATGGTGGACAACACCCACCTGCAACTAAGATTGAAAGCGGCGACTGGACTTGGAGCTGAGCTTGCGCCCTCCACAACTAAGATTGAAGGACAACAACCTGACTTGGAGCTGATGGATCCTGGAAAAACACAATGTTCCCCTTCCCCAATTCCCCAACACTGTTCCCCTCCCTAACTCCCCTTCCCCCCCAAAATACCAGAGTTTAAGTAGAAACATAAACAGAGGTAAAGGGAATGGTACAATGGAAGCATACTTATAACAAATGTAATTAAGGGTCAATATTGTTTCTCAAAAGAGGGTATGAATAAATAAATATGAACCCAAAGCCTCCCTCCTGCAAAAATAAAAACCAGGAGCCTAAATCAGGCAAATTATATCAGAAGATAAACTAAAGAACATAGAAAGAATTATTTTTAAAAGTTAAAGAAATGTAAACCAAAACAATCACAAGGTACACGTGCACCTATTAAACTGCAAAAATAAAGACAAGATAAAATCAGTGGTGTCAAGGCAACATGGAAACAGAGGCCGAGTTACTAATGGTGGGTAGCACAAATTGATAAAAATACTTTTGGAGTGAACATTTGTCAATGTTCACTCTGGAAATATGACCCAAAGAAATAATTGGGGAAAAACGGGGGGAATTAACTATATGGAATAAGCTATTTATAGCGGCATTACTTACAGTGACAAAAAAAGTCTATAAAATAAAATGAACATTTAATAAGGGTAAATGGGTTAATAATTTATAAGTAAAGGCACTGGGCTATTTCTCATTAATTCTACAAATATTTACTGAGCACCGACTAGACCTAGCCCTGTTTTAGGTGCTAAGGATACAGTAAATAACAAATCAGAGAAAAATTCCAGTCTTTGAGTTCACATTTGGATGGTGGTGGTGGTGGACAAAAAAACAAAATAAGTAAGTTAGTAGCATAACCTCTTAGAAGGTGGAGAGTATTCTGGAGAAAAATTAAAAGGTGAAAAGAAATAGAGACTGGGGATGTGGGAAAGAGGGTGTGACGTCATAGAAGTGTTCAGGAAAGGCCTTGCCAAGAAGGTGGACGTTGAGCAGAGTCTTGAATGAGGTCCGAGCCAGGAGGATATCTGGGAGAGGACATCCTGGTCACAAAGAAGAGCAAGTGCAAAGGCCCAGCGAGAGGTGGGAGATGCGAATGAGTGCAGATCAGGATGGACCATCGGCCACA